GTCCCCAGGTGGCCTCATGCTTGCCAGTTCCTACTGTACCCTCAGCATTCTCACCACTGGTGAGGAGCTGACAAAGGTAGAAGCAGGAGCCACAGAAGGCATCAGAAGATGCTAACTCACATTTCAACATGTGGTGGTAGAATGAACAAGACCTACTAGCCAGCAGGAAGGGAACAGGAACCAGCATGAAATCTCAAGTCAAGATGGACCAAGGTGCAGGTGAACACCACTTGGAAGTCAAGCATTTACTGAGTACCAGAGGATGGGGTATCCTGGGCAGTAAAGGACAGAAATGTGTTTATCCCCAACAGCTATGTGTGGGAGTGGGAAGACAAGGGTTTTTGTTGAGGTAAGGCCTCTCAAATGCTGAGGTGGCCAGCATGAGCTCCTGGCCTGGGTTAAATGGCTGTGGTCTGAACTGAGTTTAGGGTATGGTGAATGTCAGCAGTACAACGTTTGTCTGGCTTGTACAAGTGAGGAATACAAATAGAATACAAATAGAGATAGGTTATTAACTGGTAATTTATTGGGAATATACTCACATGAGGGAATCAGTAACCAGAATTGGTGCTCTGAGCAGTCCAGTTTTGAGTGCTTCCTAATGCTTGCTGAGCCCCAGAGAGAGAGGGCGCCCCCCCTTTCTTATCTACCTCCTTCTATGTAACTATGACCACACCCAAATGGGTGTGGTCAGCAGTGTAGGCAATCAGGGTCTCTCCCTACATGAAAAGGCCTTGGATTTGATCCCCTGTGCCAGAAATAGTCGCCAAAATTAATACTGTGTGTGTGTGTATCTTTGTGTGTGCATATATGTTGTGTATGTGTGTGTCTGTGTATTGTATGTGTGTCTATGTATATATATGCTGAGTGTGTGTGTGTGATGGCCCATGTGTGGAGGTTAAAGGACAACTCTGGAGACTTAGTTGTCACTTTCCACCATGTGCCTGGGATTGCATACAGGTAGGCAGGCTTGGCCACAAGTGGCTTTGCTGTCTGAGCCCTCTAGTGGCTGAGGTTGGTTTTGAGTTAGTCTCACTGACCTACAGCACAGGTTTGCTGAGATGGGCTGGCCCAGAACCTGCAGATCCTCTTGCTTCTGCCTCCCCAGTGCTGGGATCATAGGTGCACACTAGTTGTCTTACTCATGTTCTAGGGTCAAACTCAAGTCCTCTTGTGCAGCCATCTCCCTGGCCCTAGAGTAATGGCTTTTAAATGAAGTGGCCAGAAAAGCCCCTAGTAAGAGCCCTGGGTTTGGGGTAATTTTTTCTTTTAATTTACTTTTGGAGTGTTTTGCTTTTATGTATTTCTTTTGCATGTCTGGTGCCCACAGGGACCAGAAGAGGGTGTTGGATCCCCAGAACTGGAGTTGCATATGGTTTTGAGTCTGCACTTGAGTGCTTGGAGCTGAGCACAGGTCCTCTGCAAGAGCACCCATGCTCTAACCACAGAGCCATCTGTCCCTCTAGTCCAGAGAGCTCAGATTTGAGCCAAATCCTGAGGGAGCCATGGAGGAATTTAGGGAGAGAGCTTTCCAGGCATAGTCACGAATGTCTTGCTTAGAGGACAGTGACTGGAAGAGAAAGTGCTGGTGAATAAAGAGGATGAGGAGGGTCTGTACCCTGCACAAAGTCACAGCAACCTTCAGCAGTGAAACCCCTGCCAGTTGCATGGTGGGGGAGGGGAGGAAAAGCATCACCCAGGGCTACATCAAAGTCCTTTCTGGAATAGAACCTGTAGGAACCCTTCCAGAAAGTTCTACCCGGTGTGGACAGAAGCCAGGAGGGCCTTGGCAGGTGGCACAACTTCCTCCTTTCAGTTCCCTGAAGAGGGCTCACAAGGCTGGTTGGAACCAGGTCATGATAACCTTGGACTCAGCCTAGCAGTGTGCTCCAGACCCAGGAAGTGGGGTTGCCAGATACTTCCAGAACATGCTGCTCCCTGGCTCAGCCCAGCTATCTTCAAACCTAAGACCTCTTTATTGCCTGTGAGGGACATACACCCAAAGCCGCCGCCGAGCCTCACCACCTGCGTTTGAGCCCCAGGACCCAATGGAGGAGAGGACTGACCCCTGTAAATCATCCCCCGACCTCCACACTCATGCTCACACGAAAGAAATGTGGAAACACTGTCACACATTCTGCTCGGTCAGACCCCAGCCACACACAATGTCGGGTGACACTGTTGCAAGACACGACTCTCTGGGCTTGGAGAAAACATTTGTAAAACAAACAAAAGTCCCTTAGCATCCAGCATGAATCCCAGGATGCAGAGCAGATGGTTTTCTGAGTTCAAGGCCAGTCTGGTCTGCAGGACAACCAGGACTACTAAGTGAGGCCCATCCTGCCCTATCCATCCCAACAATAAAAGTCAGAAAGGAGTGTGAACAGAGCCAGCTTTCTGAATTCCCAGCTGGCTAGGGACACACCCTGCTGAGACTGCCATCAGACTGAACCCTGGAGGTCAGAAAATGTCCAGCCATGGTTCTAACCCCTCAGACTTCCTTCTTGCAGGAACTTCCTTTAATTGCTCCACCCACCAGCTCTTGCCCCATCACAGCCTTAGGGCTGTCCATACAATGGCTGAGTAAATGCACACACATGGCCTTCCCATGCCCAAGAACCCATCCCAGGTCTGCACACAGCAGGCACTAAATAATGACTCATTAAAAGAATTCATGGGGGGGACCGGAGATATGGCTCAGGGTTAAGAACACTGACTGTTCTTCCAGCGGTTCTGAGTTCCATTCCCAGCAACCACATGGTGGATCACAACCACCTATAATGTGATCTGGTGCCCTCTTCTGGCACGCACTGTATACATGATAAATAAATAAATACATCTTTAAAAAAAAAAAAAAGAATTCATGGGGCCGGGCATTGTTGGCGCACGCCTTTAATCCCAGCACTCGGGAGGCAGAGGCAGGTGGATCTCTGTGAGTTCGAGACCAGCCTGGTCTACAAGAGCTAGTTCCAGGACAGCCTCCAAAGCCACAGAGAAACCCTGTCTCTAAAAACAAAAAAATAAAAGAATTTATGGGGCTGGAGAGATGGCTCAGAGTTTAACAGCCCCGACTGCTCTTCCAGAGGTCCTGAGTTCAATTCCCAGCAACCACATGGTGGCTCACAATCATCCGTTATGAGATCTGGTGCCCTCTTCTGGTGTGCAGATATATATGGAAGCAGAATGTTGTATACATAATCAATAAAATCTTTTTAAAAAAATTCATGTAGGGTTAGAGCTGTGGCTCACAGGCAAAGCACTTGCCTAGCACCACAAGTAAATTTAAAAAGGAAATGTGTAAAAAACATTTAGGCTTTTGTCTTGAGATGGGTCCCCCCACAGCCCAGGCTGGCCTCAAACTTAAGTAACCAAGGTTGGCCTTCAATTCTTGATATCTTTTCAACCTCCCAAATGCCAGGGTGATTAAATTACATTTCTTGACTTAATGTGGGTATGTGCAAGTATATGGAGGTCAGTTTGCAAGAGTCGGCTCTCCCCATCCACCATATGGGTGGGTCCTGGCGAGGGAACTCGGGTCATGATCCATGACAAGCACCTTTACCAGCTGAGCCATCTCTTGCCCCCCCCAATCCAGTAGAAGTGAATTGACAGGCAACTGTCTGCCCTTCTCTACCCTGTCCTCTGTGTACCCTCCCCCCAGTCTTCTCACTATACCCCTAATGTGCTGGGCTCTGTCCTGCCCTGAGGCCTTTGATTGAGCTGTGTTGTCCACATGCACCTCAGGACAGGCTGTCACCTCCCTGCTTATTTCAAGTCCCTTCAAGTTTTCCCAGGTCCCCTTGCTTGCTTTACTGATGCTTCCTTTGACACCTCACCCTGGAACTCCACAGCCAAGAACCTAGCACCTTCCCAACCACCCGTCACCCCACACACCATGGTTCAGAGGATTTCATTTACATACCCCACCCCCAGAATCTCAGAACTGTGATGCTGGGGTTTCACTTCAGGTCTGCCTTGCACAGACGGGTCTGACTAGGTCTGACTCAGAGACTAAAACAGAAAGCAGGAGTGACTCATCTCCTCCTGCATGTAAGACAGGGCCTTGGCTGTTTGTGGGATGAGCCCACAGTTGCTTGTCCTTGGAAGTCTGGCTTTCTTACATTAAGTTCCCCTGAATTCTAACTCAAGTGATGCCAGGGCCACAGTTTTCCCCAGCTGTTAAATGAATGAATTCACATTTCACAGAGGCTTGTTTGGAGGGTTGAGATGTCTGGGCACATTAAAAGCTCTTGGATTTTCAAGACAGGATTTCTCTGTGTAGCCCTGGCTGTCCTAGAACTCTATTTTTAAGACCAGGCTGGCCTTGAACTCAGAGATCTGCCTGCTTCTGCCTCCCAAGTTCTGGGACTAAAGGTGTGCGCCACCGACACCTGGTTCATCCAGGGCTATGTAGAGAGAACCTGTCTCAAACGAAACACTGGTCAAAAGAGCACTGGTCCAGAGGTCCCGAGTCCGATTCCCAAGCAGCCACACTGTCCATTACCAGTAGTTCTCAACCTTCCTAACACTGATCCTTTAATACAATTCCTCATGTTGTGGTGGCCCTCAACCATAGAAATATTTTTGTTGGCTGGTCATCGGTGGCACACACCTTTAATCCCTGCACTCAGGAAGCAGAGGCAGGCGGATCTCTGTGAGTTTGAGGCCAGCCTGGTCTACAGAACGAGTGCCAGGACAGGCTCCAAAGCTACACAGAGAAACCCTGTCTTCAAAAACAAACAAACAAACAAAAAAGCTAAATAAATGTGAGGAGATGGCAGAGGGTCGGAGATGCAAAGTCCCACAGCCTTGGCTGAACCACACCACTTGCCCACACTCCAAAGAAAACCCTGCTGTAGCAAAATCTGCCAATATAGATGTTAAAAAAATAATAAACCTTTTAATGTGAGAATGGGTTTGACATGTCTATCCCAGTGACCCACATGGAGGAGGAGGACCGGCTCAAACAGGTTGTCTTACAATCGCCACACATTCCTGGCACACATACACTACATAAATAAATTCACAAAAGCAATCAACACCACCAGTAACTCCCCAGTGTTCTCCTTTCCTAACACTGCAAGGTTTCCTGGGATATGGCCGCCCACAAAATAAACTACGTTTCCCAGAGTCCCTTGCAGCAGAAGGCCACGTGGTCCACGCTGTCCAATGGGATGAGAATGCATCCACAGATTCCGGTTCCTGTCATTCAGGGAGCCGGATGGAGCTCCTATTCTATTCCAGTCCTGGTGGAGCTGAGTCTCTTCTCTAGGAGGTGGTGGGTGAGGGCGCCGGCTCGTGACTCAGCTTATAAACCCTCAGCTATTATAAACCCTCTCCATTGCCCCAGCACCACATCCTCCCCAGAGACTGTACGTGCCACGGTGGATGAGGGTCACGTGGCCGCTGGGGGCACCTTGGAGGAGCCTATGGCTCCTTAGCGGTCTGTCCACCTAGAGGGTGCGGGTTGGGGTCCCAGAGTCTTGTCCAATGTTCAATAGGGTTCTGGATGTTTTTCCAGGCCCTGCGTTTACAGGCGAGGTCTTCCTGGCCTCTGGGGTCCAATTCATGGCCGCTGTGTAGGCCCAGGCAAGGTTCCCCTCTCCCACTGTCGCTTTGGTGACTCAGGTGAAGTCCAGCTTGGCCACTCTAGCAGTCTAGGTTGGGTTCAGCCTGGTCATGTTAGGAATCTAAGTGGGCTCCAACACGATCACTCTCAAGCAGGGGTCCCCCCTGGTCACTCGGAGGGCCCAAGCAGGGGTCCTCACACTCAGTCTTGTCATTGGTCGACTGGGTCCCTGTCTGGCCCCACATGTGGTTGTTGACCCCCAACTGAACCATCTGGGCATGATGAATAATGAGAGGTCCTGGAGTCTGGGTGGCTGCAGGGGAGGCCGATGGGAAGGGTGGGGACTGCGGGGAAGAGACTGGAGGCTGCGAGAAAGACGGAGGCTGCTGCGGGAAAGACGGAGGCTGCTGGGGGAAAGACGGAGGCTGCTGGGGGAAAGAGACTGGAGGCTGCGGGAAAGGGGGGGAACCCGGGGTGCCCCCCTGCCATAGTTGTGAAGGTGTTAGCTGTGGACATCCCAGCCAACTGGGGAAGGGTGTAGGGGCCCCCAGTGACAAGTCCTTCCCGAAGGCCATCTGCAGGCTGTCCATCTGTGCTTGCCAGGCGCTGTAGCTGTGGACATAGGTTGAGTAGGCAGCAGACATGGCAGCCACCCTTTGCCGCTCGGCCTCCAGCTGTGTGCTCTGCTCCTTGAGGGCTCTGGTCTCCTGCTCTTTCTTCCAACGTATCCGGTATGCCTGGAGCTTCTGTGATTTGAAGGTGTTTGCCACCTTCCTGGCAAAGATAGGGGAGTGTTCATCCAGCCACACAAGGCTGTGGAGCAAGCTGGTCGTGTTGGGGCTGAGCTGGGCCTGGGAGCACTCCAGTGGGAGGAGGGGGATCACACAGTCTTGCCTTCCTGATTTCGTGAGGCTGTTCATAAGGGCGTGGTTGACTTGGTGCAGGCTCAGACGACAATCAAAGTTGGTGGTCAGAAGCAGGATCGTATACCCAGAGTGGTCGATAGCATCTTGGAGACAATGCAGCTCACCACGCCCAGGCACCTGAAATTCCTCACAGAAGGTGGCCCCATCGGGCACCCCAAGGGTCTCTAGCTTCTCCCGGATACGTAGGGCCACATGCTCGTCAGCCCTGGCATGGATAACCACAAAGTTATAGAATTTCTGCTCAGATGTTTCCAAGTGGTCCAGAATGGGGGGCATGGAGGCTGGGGGGACAGGACAGCTGCTGGGGAAGGAAGCAGAGGGCAGAGGGGGAGGAGGCAGTGTAGTAGAGAACTGGGGGGACTGTAGCTGGGCAGCGGGGCTAGATGTGGTGTTCTGCAGACTGTCATCTCCTACAGAGCCCGGGGGTGACATCTGATCGGTGATAGACGGCTGCTTTCCAATGCCTTCCGTGGTGGGTGGCAGGAGAGACTGGGAGCCTACAGACGCCTCTGTGCATTCAACCGGGCAGTGGACACTCGTGTCTGGAGCAGCCAGAGAGTCAGGGTGGATGGCTGAAGCCACCTCAGGGGACACCTCTGGGACCCCAGTTCTGTGTAGTGACCCCAAGGGGACGGGGACGCTGGTGTCCACTGACAGGGGCCAGCTCACTTCTTCAGGTTCTTGGCAGCCTGCAGGGACAAGCTGAGGCTCAGGGGAAGCTGGGGGTGTGTCACAGAGCTTGCTGGGCCCATGGGTTCCACGGTGTGGACAGAGGAAGGGCATAGTGGGTGACTGGCTGATCTCCAGGTGGCTAGCCAGTGAAGCGATGCTGCTGGTAGAGTGTAGAGAATGTCCCTGGCTCCAGTCTGATGTGTCAATGGGTCGAGGCTGGCTTCTAGTTACTGAAGGGGATGCTGAAGAAGGAGGCAGGCAACCCTGATCAGAATGGAGTGGCTGGAAGCCACAGTGGTCCCCCATGATGTCTGAACTACACCGATCCCGGGCCTCCTTCTGGAGTTGGCCCAGCAAGTGGTTACCCTGAGAGGCGAGGTCATGGAGGGCCACCTGGTAAGCCATGTCCCTTGTGGAAGCAGGACAAAGGTTCTCTTCAGCCAGCAGGTGGTACAGGCGAGCCACGGACCAGGACAAATCTGGAGGCTCCTCAGGGCCTTCTGTGCTGTCCACACCTATCCACTGGCAGGCTATCAGCTGGGCCACTGTGTCTGCCTTCAAGGACTCCAAAGAGGTCCTGGCCTCAGTGTTCTGGCCCAGAACCAAGAGCACCATGGCGTGAAGAAGCTTGGACTCCTGGCTGCCTGGATTCAGACTCCCCAGCTTGTCTTTCAGATGGACCAGCCTGTCCCTTTCCACTGCTCTTAGAAGGTTTAAGGCACCATGGAGTGATGGGTCTGGGTTGGCCATGGATGAGGGAGGATGAAGCCTGGAGCCACAGAGGCTGGGACAGGTGGAGACATGTTCTGCAACAGCAGCCTCCTGCCCAGAGTGTCCCCTGCTGCAGGAGATCCCAGAGGGTGGTGCAGCAGACCTGCGGAATTAGGAGTTTATCGTGACTTTCCAAACAAGACAGCAGAGGCAGGGGGGTCTCTGAGCTCCAGGGCTACATAGGGAGATGGGTCAGCAGGAGGGGTGGGGACAGAGGGAAGAGCACTGGCCAAGCATTTGCCGCAGAGTTCCATGTCCCACGCCCAGTGCCACAAGAACCAGGTGTGGTGAGTGAGCGGACGAGTGGGGGTGAGTGGATGTGTGGACTGGTATGAAGTTCTCAGTGACTTACAGGACACTCACAGTGATCCTCAGCTGGGACGGTCACCATCGTCACTCACCCCAGCTCTCTGTTCACAGCTGAGAAGACCTCAGAGTCGGTCAGTCCTCGTGTCCCCGACACCCATCCCCCCTCTATAGCCAGGCTGGGATGGGACTCACTCCTGTCCCACCCCAGGGCCACCTGCTGGCCTCTCAGGCAGGGACAGGTGTGGCTGTTGTGACCAGACAGCCCTGGCATGGAGTGGTGAAGGCTAGGGACACTTCTTAGAACCCTTCCACAATGCCCCATAGAGAATGTCCCAGCCATGTACGTGTCCGGGATGCTCAAAAGGGACCCTGGTCTAGACCTGAAGTCAACACGTCAGTCAGTTAACCCACAGACTTTGCAAACAAATGACCAAAAAGCCTATAAAGACCGGACTTGAAGCAGCAGAGGTAGGCTGGGCAGAGGTCAAGGGAGCCAGGTAGGCAGAGGGAGGGGCCTAATGACCATTGGCAGAGCCAGAGGCACAGGAGCATGACAGGTGGGGGCGGTGACGGCAAATGGCAGCCCAGGAAAATGGAAAAAGCTGGAAAGAGCAAAAAAGGCAGGGCCACCACCCTCTCCATGACTGCTGGGAAATGGAGGCAGTTAGGTGTGAAAGTGTAGACAGAGGCAGTGACAGTGTGACCAAAAGCAACAGAGCTAAGAAGACCTGTCAGACAGAGAAAGGGGGTCAGCTGCCCATCGTGGCTGCAGACCAGACGAAGCCTGAAGAAGGGTCAAGAGCTACAAGAATTAAGGCTTACTTTGGCAGAGCTGAACAGTGTGTCCTAAGGACTCAGAGACAACAGTTGGAAGGGACATGAAAATGGAGAAGCCTGCAGGGCGTTGGTGGCACATGCCTTTAATCCCAGCACTCGGGAGGCAGAGGCAGGTGGATCTCTGTGAGTTCGAGGTCAAAAAACCAAAAACCAAAAAAAGAAAAAAAGAAAAAAGAAAATGGAGAAGCCTGAGAGCACTGCAAGGGGAGGGCACAGCTCATACAAAGACCCTGGGGCAGAGGACACAGCAATGCAAAGGTCCTGGGGCAGGGGCCAAAGCCCTACCCCTAAATCCCTGTCCTGACCCCCCACCCCACCAGAAATCTCCCACCCTCATCTAGGATGTCCACCTCTGTCCTCAGGTCCCTCCTTCACACCCGTGCAGTCTCTTCATTTGCTTACCATTTCTCACTCAGGAGTGTCTGGGCTCTGCCGTGGGAGACGCTACACACACACACACACACACACACACACACACACACACACACACGGGCATCAGGCAGAGCAACAGGATGTGATTAAAAAAAAAAATCACCTAAGATCATTTCGAGAAATAAAAGTGCCATGGAGGAAATGAACCTGAGACAGAACCTGGGGTGGAGGATGCCCTAGGGAGGGCATGACTGAGCTGCACCCCTGAAGGAGATGAGCTAGTCCAGAGAGGCCCTTTGGAGAGCACTGTGAGTACAAAGGTCCTGGGGTACGGAGTGCAGCCTGGCATGCTGGAGAGGTGAGTAGGCAAGAACAGAGGGAGGAGGGGCCCGGGTGGCTTTGACCCTGAGGGAGATGGGAGCCCTGGAGGGCTATGGGTGGAGATCCTAGGGAGGAAGCTCCCTATGTGTGCTGTGGGGAGGATGAGTCCAGGGGAGCTCCAGGCAGAGGAGAGTGTCACAGAGTTAACCAGAACTTGTCCCTCTCTCTCCCCCTGTGCATGCTATGTTGTCACTTACATGCACTGTCCCACCTAAGGGCCTCTGCATGGATGTCCCTCTAGGAGCACATAACCTCAGGCAGTCAGTCCCTTCTCTAGCAGGGCAGCTCTCAACTCCTCATGACCTCCTACTGAATTTTACTTCATGTCCCACAACAGACAGGTATCTGGGACCCAGCAGGAGCAGGGCTCAGGTACAACTGTATAGTTCCTAGGATCCAGAGTGCCTGACACATAGTGGGTACATAATGCCGACTGTGGGCTGCCAAGATAGCTCAGTGGGTAAGGATGCTTGATGCTGCCAATCTGGACTGAACTTTGAGTTCAGTCCCTGGACCCATTAGTAGAAGACAGAAAAAGTTAAAATAAAATGCATAAATGAACAAACTGCTGGGCCTGTTTAATCCCAGCTCTCAGGAGGCAGAAGCAGGCAGATCTCTGTGAGTTTGAAGCCAGCCTGGTCAACAGAGCGAGCTCCAGCACAGCCAGTGCTACACAGAGAAACCCTGACTCAACAACAGTAATAAATAAAATAAGCATTCACTGGAGAGAAAAAATTAACACATGAACAGGGTGGTACCTGGTATACAATAAGTGCTTAAAAAGTGCTTACTGAGGCCTGGGAATGCACTGAGTGGATAGAGTACCTGTCTGTCATACAGGAGGCCCGGATTTCAACTCCCAGTGCCAGGAAGAAAGAGGCAGGGGCAGAGAAAGAGGGAGACAGAGAGAAACACAGAGAGGAGAGAGAAATGTTTATTGACACTGCTAAGCAAAGAGCAGGCAAAAATATAGCAGGGTGCATGCACAGTATTCGAGTTTTATTTGCTTGTTTTCTGTTGTTGTTGAGACAGGATCTCATAGACCATATAGGCATTGTACTATGTAGCCCAGGATAACCTTGAACTTCTGATCCTCCTGCCTTTACTACTTAAGGGTGTCTGTTTCCTCTTATCCAAACTATCTGAAAAGCTAAGGCAGGAGGATTTTTCTCTCTCTCCTCTCTCTTTCTCCCCCTCTTTTGTTTTTGGAGACAGGATTTCTCTATGTAGCCCTGGCTGTCCTGGAACTCGCTCTGAAGCCCAGGCTGGCCTCAAACTCACAGAGATCCACCTGCCTCTGCCTCCCAAGTGCTGGGATTAAAAGCATGGGCCAGCACCACCAAGCTTGGGAGAGTTTCTTGAAACCAAGAGATCAGGGACAGCCTAAGTGAGTTCCAGGCCAGCCTGGTCTACATCTCCAGATACAAATAAATAACATAAATGACATCAAAAAATAGAAGTAATTATTTTTAGGAGAGGGGTGAAGGCACTCAGTGGGTGGAGCTCTCGTCTAGCATGCATGAGACCCTGGGCTCTATCCCTAGCATGAACTATGACACACGGATGGATGGATGGATGGATGGGTGAATGGGGCTTCCTTTCTTTCTTCCCTGGCTTTCCTGACAGACCTGACAATCTCTTGTGGCACAGGGTACCCTTCCCAGTCTCTGGTGAGTGTCAGCTCTGGGACTCAGAGACTGAGTGCTTCCAGGGAACCTGGATGGTTCCAGGATTGACCCTGCAGGTACCCAGGGGCAGCTGGCTACAGAAGTTTCACCAGGCCAGTCCCAACACCTGGAAGACTGCTGCCTGTGTTAGTCTGGGGATAGAGGTTTTGACAGGAGACATTGTGGTAGAGAAAGTGGCTCTGATCAGGAAATAGAGACCAGGAGAGGGATTGGGGGTGGGGAGGCTGAGAGTTGGCTGTTGTGGCTGGAGGAGACCTGTGTATTGGAAGATCTAGGAATTTGGGGGGTCACTGAGGTCTGAGCAAGCACCCAGGATCCTAGGACTGGGTTGGGGTCAGAAAATGGGCTGCGGATCTGCTTGAAGCAGCAGAACGGGCTGCAGGTGGAGGTCCAGCGTGCCACCCAGGCTGTCCAGGGCCCTTCTGGCCCTGCACCCGCTGTCCCCTCTGCCTTCCTCCTACCTGGCCGTGGGGTCCTGGGCTGGTGGATCTCAGGGTCCCTGGTGGCCGCTGGAGAGGGAGGAGGGAGAAGAGGAGGGAACGGTTCCACCCCTTCCGTGTGGGGAGGAGCAGATGAAGTCAGCTGTGTCCCGCCCCAGAGGGGAAAGTCCCCAGGGCGCCCCAGCCCTGGCCCTGCCCTCCGCCCAGCGCCATAGTGCCACGTAGAACAAGTCAGGGCTCTCATTGTGTGGGGCCAAAGCAGGGGAAGAAGAAACCCCCACCCCCAGAGACCGAGGAGCTGGTAGCCACAGACCTCAATTAGTGACATACTCTGTGGGGATTTGCAATGCACCATGTGGCTAAGTTCACAGGCTGGTGACTTATGCCTCTGGGTCCAGCATACTGGAAGCTGTAACAGGCCCTAAGCTACAAGCTAGCCTGACCTACACAGGGAGACTTCCATCTCAAAAATAAATTAACAGGCCAGGTGGCAGTGACAAACACCTTTCGTCCCAGCACTCGGGAGGCAGAATCAGGTGGACCTCTGTGAGTTCGAGGCCAGCCTGGTCTACAGAGAAGAGTGAATTCCAGATCAGCCAAGGCTACATACGCAGAGAAACCCTGTCTCAAAAAAGAAAACAAAACAAAAAAAACCCGAATAAATAATAAGTAATAAACAAGAGTGCTGGAGGCTACAAGGAAAAAATCCATCTGTTTTTTTTTTTTTTTTTTTTTTTTTGACCGGGTTTTTCTTTGGTTTTTTTGTCCTGGAACCCCCTCTGTAGACCAGGCTGGTCTCGAACTCATAGAGATCCTCCTGCCTCTGCCTCTGCTGGGCACCAATGCCTGGCTGTGAGAATATTTTTTCACGTCACATCTTATTTAATATTTTTTCGTGTGTGTGTGTGTGTGTGTGTGTGTGTGTGTGTGTGTGTGTAGGTCAAAGAACAGCAAGTTCCTTCACCTGCTGAGCCATCATAAGGACACAAAATAAAAAAAAAATTGAGGTTTCTGGGTATTTAGTATTTTAAGAAACAACCTTTGTGGCCAGGCATTGGTGGCACATGCCTTTAATCCCAGCACTCGGGAGGCAGAGGCAGGTGGATCTCTGTGAGTTCGAGGCCCGCCTGGTCTACAGAACGGCTCCAAAGCTACCCAGAGAAACCCTATCTCAAAAAAAAAAAAGAAAAAGAAAGAAAGAAAGAAACCACCTTTGTATGTACATGATGCTATCCTACAACTTTGGGCTATCATCCTGACTCAGCCTCCCAGATGGTTAGATTACAGGCATGTTTTAAAACTGATGAAACTAAATTGTGAAAACAGAAAAACAGAAGCGATTTATAGGGGACACTGATTGGGAAGTGGTTTGTGTAAATGAGCCATCCACCCCAATTGGGAGATTCTAGGTGGGAGAGGGGGAGCTGCACCCTGACCACACCCCCAGCCCCTCACTGGGGAATTCTAGGTGGGGCTCCATCCTTGACCCCCACCCCCAAGCCCTCAGTGGGGGATTCTAGGCAAGAGTATCTGGCTCATGTCACTGACCATGATGTCTCCACAGCTCTGGATATTAGAGTTGGTATTAGAATGGCCCGTGTTTTCCTTATGTATAAGACAAGTTTGTGGAAGTCAGGGATTGGCATCAGGTATCTTTTTTGGTCACACTCAAGCACATTACCATTGGACCATCTCTCCTGCTCCCGAGTTTTGCTATTTTGAGCCAGGGTCTCCTGTAGCCCAGGCCAGCTTCAAACTAACTTCGTAGCCAAGGGTGAACTTGAACTCCTAATCCTCTGGTCTCTAGGTCAAGGAGATCAGACATGGACGTGCTTGGCAGGTGGTGTTCAGTCTGCTGCACTGACCTCCTCTTCACCTCACAGAATGTGCAGGGAAGGGAAATGGGCAGCAGGTCCCTCCTGGTCCTCTGCCAGGGTGGATCCATGGCTGGGAAAGGAACAAACACACCATCTGCCTGGTCTCTGATGCATGTAAAATTTATTAAAGCAATACTGAACCCCAGGGTTTGAGGAACACTGGACACTCAGCCTTCAGCCACTTTCTCATCTGAAATGATTTTCACATCCCTGCTGTCCACCCTGTCATGGAGGCGGGCTTCTTGGATCAGGTATCAGGGTCTGTTAGGAAAGCGCTTGCTATTGTAGGTCATGACATAGTAAAGGGACCAGAATGCAGTATCACCATGACCTGATGTCTGTCAAGACAAGGTCTTACCTAGCTTAGGCTATAACTGAGTTTGCTATGCAGCATCTGGCTTTGAATTCTTTCTTTCTTTCTTTCTTTCTTTCTTTCTTTCTTTCTTTCTTTCTTTCTTTTTTTTTCCTGAGGCAGGGTTTCTCTTTGTAGTTTTGGAGTCTGTACTGGAGCTAGCTCTTGTAGACCAGGCTGATCTTGAACTCAAGAGATCTGCCTGCCTCTGCCTCCTGAGTGCTGGGATTAAAGGCATGCACCACCACTGCCCAGCTGGCTTTGAATTCTAGATCTTCCAGTTTCTACTGTCACAGTGCTGGCATAGGATGACAGGCATGTGCCATCACTACTAGTTATCCTGATTTTTTTTTTTTTAGGGAAAAAATTTTTCTAGAACATTCTAGAAAAAATTTTCCAGTAACATTCTAGAATTTTTTTTTTTTTTTTTTTTTTTTTTTTTTTTTTTTAAAAAAATTATGGAAAGACTGATGGGAAGAGGTTAAATACTTCTTCAGACTCAGGGTAGGTGAGGACTTGGTGTGCAACAGGACTTTTGGGAAAAGCTGACTGGAGCCAGCTGCGGGCCCTGACCCCTATCCCTGCTTCTCCTCTTCCAGGGGTTTCTCAGTGATTCCAGGAGCAAAGGGGCCCACCAGCCATGTGACTGGAGTGTTCTGGGCCACGTACTCCACAGTGTGGTCGAGGGCCTCCCGGGCTCTGGCTATGCGCTCTCGAGTCTGGGCAAGAACACCTGCTGTGAGGTCCTGGAAGGAATGGATGCCAGAGAAGGTGGCCTGAAGATCCTCAACCTGGCTGCGGGCCTGCTGGGCCTGCTCCCTGATGTGGCCAGGCAGGCCCTGGATGCTGGCCCCCAGGGCCACACACGTGCTTTGCAGCTGCTGGGTGATGTCCCTCAACATGCTGAGTGCCCGGGCCTCCACCTGCTGGAAGGAGAGAGTGGGGATGGGGTGAGGGCCAGCAGGGGGACAGCCCAGCATCAGGGACTCCCCTCAGGCTCCTATAACCAGGGAGACACTGGAAGATGCCTAGAATCTAGACTCATCGTCGAACACAAAAGCTACTAGGAGGGGACAGAAGCCAAACAGAAAAAAATTAAAAAGCAGCTGGGCAGTGATTGATTCACGCCTTTAATCCCAGGCAGGCGGATCTCTCTGAGTTCGAGGCCAACCTGGTCTACAGAGCCAATTCCAGGACAGGCTCCAAAGCAATACAGAGAAACCCTGTCTCAAAAAAGAAAAAAAGAAAAAAACAACAAAAATACAAACCCCAAATCAAACCACAATGTGGACACTAAGAGACCAGATGTGATGGCCATACAGCTGTGATCTCAAAACAAAACCAAACAACCCTCCATAGCAATTTTAAAAATACAAAAATTAAAAACCAAAGCCAAAAATGCCAGGTGGTGGTGGTCCACGCCTTTAATCTCAGCACTTGGGAGGCAGAGGCAGGTGGATCTCTCTGAGTTCCAGACCAACCTGGGCTAGAGAGAGAGTTCCAGGACAGCCACTGCTACATAGTGAGGTCCTTGAGAAACCAAGATAGAAAAAAAGCCAAAACAGAATCATGTAAAGCCTGGATTCTGTGGTCACCCCTGGGACAGGAAGCACAGAGTGCACAGAGCAGGGTATGCAGACGGACACAGGGATCCCGGTGCCCAGCAGGTACCTCTGGTTTAGCTGCATCCTTTTCTGCATCTTGGGGCTTCTTCTGGTTCCAGCTGAGCCACATGTGGTGTAGCTTCTCCTGCCCCTCCCCCAGCCTCTGGTCCATGCCCTGTTTCACCGATTCCATCTGCGGTCCAGAGAAAAGGGTGGGGGTTGTGTCAAAGGGAGCACTCCTCTGTCCCAGATGTTGGGCTCCAGCCAGTTGGGGACAACAGGAACGGGGATATTCTTCATTTACATTTTTTTTTCTTTTCTAGCTAGCCTGGAATTCACTATGTAGACCAGGCTGGCCTCTGCCTGGATGAAAGGCTCTGCCAAGGAGTCCCACACCTTTGCTTCTGCCCTTGGGCAATGCTGAGGATGGACCCTGCTCCACCAGCAACCACCGTCAGTCAGTTTCACAGGGAATATGACAGAAGAGTGCCTTAGCTGATCTCGGGACCCAGCGACCAGCATCCCTAGCTGCCAGGAAAGTAGAGAAAGCCTGTGCCCTGCCCCACACACCCTGGAACCGTCTAGATAATGACACTGGGTTCACTATCAAAGCCTGCAACTCCTCTCACAAGGTTGTACAATGAATGTGTCTGGTTCAGCTGCACAGATTGTGTACTTTGCTACACAGCCTGAGCTGACTCATACACTATGGTGTATGAAGCCAGCCCAGGGGAACTAGCCCAGCCCACCTGCTATGAGGTAAGATAGGAAGGTGGCCCCAGCCTTGGTCACACCCCGACTCTCACCAGGCTGAGTGCATGCGTGAGCTGCTGCAGTGCCTCATGGGCATTCTGCCTAGCGCTGCGCAGCTTGCCCAGTGAATGTTCATAGGCGTGGTTGCGCAGCCGTTCTGACAGCGAGCCCAGCCGGACGAAGTAGTTCCTTTCTTGTCTCTGCTGCTGCAGTGAGGCCAGGTCTGAGCCCTCTGGGGATGTGGCAATCAGGGCTGTGGGCACAGAGGGGGAGAATGCTCAAGCTCACACTGCCTGGTGCATGCCCTGTGTCGAGGGTTGAGAACCCGAGGCAGGAGGCTTGCAGGTCTCTGGCAACCCAAGCTACAGGAGCCCCCATCTCAGAATAAAAAGCAAAACAAAGTTCATTCCCAGGACTTGGCCAGCAAGATGGCTGAGCAGGCCAAGATGCGTGCTGCCAAGCCTGAGAAACCAAGTTCAATCCGTGGAAGTTGTGCTCTAGACACTTGAAATACACTTAGCACAGGCATACTTCATATGATTAAAGTGAAATATATTTTTAAAAAATTGAAAAGCACAAGCTTTTAAGCCCAGCACCAGGGAGGAGTATTGTGGAATAGAATATTTGTTTAGCTATGTAGAAATGTGTTGCATTTGTTTGTGTTGAAGAAAATTGTTTAACTATGTAAAGATGTGCTGCTGTTTCACCTTGCCTGCCTAAGGCACCTGACTGGTGTAATACAAAGCTGAAAAGCCAACTGCTAGGCAGTAGAGGGACAGGCCGGGCTGGCAGGCAGAGAGAATAAGGAGGAGGAGGAATCTAGGCTCAAGAGAGAAATGTCAGAGAAAGAGAGGGAGATGTGCTGGGACAGCCAGCAGACACAGAGAAGCAGGAAAGTAGACTTACAGAATGAAAAAAAGGTAAAAAGCCCCAAGGCAAAATGTAGATGAACAGAAACAGGTTAATATAAGTTATAAGATCCAGTGGGACAAGCCTAAACTAAGGCTGAGAATTCATAATTAATAATAAGCTTCCATGTTATGGCTTTGGGGGTGGTGGTCCAAGAAAGCCTGCCACAGAGAAGGAGACGGGAGGATGGACCCCCAGGGCTCCTCCGGACAGCCAGCCTAGCCAAATCTGTGAGCCCCAGGTCACTGACACCCTGTAAAAAACAACGGGAAGAATGGCCTTGGGCAGACAGAGGCCAACCTGTGGCCTTAGCACAGGCACTCAAAGGCCTTTGTGGGTTTTGTTTGTTTTTTGAGACATCTCATCAAACTCATAGACATACACCTGCCTCTGCCTGGAAAGTGCTGGGATTAAAGGTGTGTGTACTCACACTAGGCAAAATCCTATATTCTGAAAAAAAAAAATCCCCTTCTCATTTCCCCTTACACAGTAGATTTTTCAAAAGAAAATGGTTACATTTTGTCCAGGCCAGATGGTTTATAGCAGTTCTCTTGGAAGCTGGGGGCTGCACCCAGGGAAGTGAAAGCAGCCTGGTGCTTTTAGCCAAGGCAAGGACAGGAAGCCATGGGCAGAGAGTAGCATGACACAGGGAGGGTCAGGCTTTGTGTCCCTGGAAGACAGGCAGTTCAATTGGTCTGAACTGGAAAGGGTGGGAAAAGACTCAGGCTGGTCTCCACCTCCTGAGTGCTGGGTCTACTGGTCTGTGCCACCATGCTTGGCTATGTTGTGCTGGGGATGGAACCCAGGGCCCTGTGTGTGCTAGGTGAATGCTCTACCCACAGCCCCAGATTGAAGCTAATTCTATATTTGAGACAGGGTCGTGCTATGTAGCCCATGCTGGCCTAGAAATTCTCCATCTTCCTGCCTCAGCCTCCCAAGTACTGGGGTGACACTTTGCTTGGGTTACAAAACTAGCTCCCACAAGTATCTACTATTCCCTACCTGGCGTTACCCACAAGCCACCTGGGTCCTATAGGACACATGTCCTCATCAGGTATGCATCTGCAAGGGCAGTTGTTAAAACCAAGGCTGCTCAGACAGGAGCAGCCTCCACAGAGCCTCTGGTTCCTGTTCATACATTGCACCCCACCCTCTGACAGGCTGGTGTCTGTACTGGGGATAGGTCTCCCCCACAGAGGGTCACTGTTCGCTGGGAGTGAATGCTGCTCTGGCTTTACATGGCTATGTGCCAGTCAAAACCCATGGAGCTGCAGGCTCCTGGACAGCCAAGGAGGAACCAAGACCACTAAGGAAGCCAGGAAGCACCTGTCTAACCCAGTACTTGGGAGTTGGAGACAAGGGGATCATCCTTGAACCAAGAAATAGCTCAGTAGGTAAAAGCTTTTTGTCAAGCCTAACTTAGTTTGATTCCTGGAACCTACATGGTGGATGGACAGAATCCGCCAGGGGACCTGGAGGGCTGTGGGCAGAGGAGGGTGGCAGTTGTGGGGAGGACCAAGCGTAGGCACTGAGGCCTGAGGATACTCACCCAGCTCTGCATCCGTCAGGGGCAGGCGGTTGTCCGCCCAGGCCTCTGATTTTACCAGCATTGAGTCCACTCCACCAATCACCATTTGTCCCACTCGGGAGCCCAGGACCGACTGGACACCGCTGGTCACTGCTGACTTTGTCATGTCCATGGTGCTCTGCACAGCCCCCCGAGTCACATCCACTGCCCCGGTTACCCGGGTGGCCACTGTGTCCTTTGCACTGGTCACTGAGCTGGATACTATTTCTTTGGCTCCAGATACTGTAGATGACACCAGTTCCTTAGTGTCTGCTAGAACCTGCAGGACAGGACATGTCAGCCAGAGAGGGGTCATTCAAGCCCCTGTGTGGTTAAGACTTCATACCTGGGGCAATGTGGCACTGGGGAGGCAGGTGGATTTCTGTGAATTGGATTCCAGCTTGGTCGACACAGTGAACTCCAGGTCAGCCAAGGCTACTATCTCAAAAAAGACTTCAAAGCACAGTATTGTTCCAAATTCAAACCACACCAAGCTGTGTGGACTCAGGCAAGTCACTCAACCTCTCTGTGTCTTTGCTTTTTATTTGAAGGTGATCCTGGCTGAACCTATATCCTTCCCAATTTGTTAAAATTTTTAAAAAGATTTATATTACTTTTATTTAAGTTGTACATCTATATAGGTGTATGTTCTCTGTTGTGCACGTGCCCTCGGAGGCCAGCTGGAGTCACAGCAGTTGTGAGCTATCTGGGTAATGGGAACTGAACTCAGGCCCTATGGAAGAACAACAAACACTCAATCACTGAGCCATTCCTCTAGTCTCTTAATTAATAAGTACCTTAAATTTCGTTTTACATTTGTGTGTGTGCCACAGCAACATGTAGGACTCAGTTCTCTCCCATCTGTGGGTCCTGGGGCTAGAACTCGGGTCCTCAGGCTTGGGTGAGGTCACCTTTACTCACTGAACTATCTTGGCCCCCCTTTTTTTTTTAAAATTTTTTGGCCCTATTTCTTCTTCCTCCTCCTCCTCCTCCTTCTCCTCCTCCTCCTCCTCCTCCTTCTTCTGCTTCTTCTTTTTATTTATTTATTTATTTATTTATTTATTTATTTATTTATTGGAGCCTGTCCTGTCCCTCACGCTGAAAACCAGACTGGTCTTGAACTCACAGAGATCCGCCTGCCTCTGCCTCCCAAGTGCTGGGATTAAAGGCGTGCGCCACCAATGCCCGGCAGCCCTATTTATTCTTGACATAGGATATCCCAGGCTGCTCCAACCCAAAACTCACTGTGTAGCTGCAGCTTATGTACTAGGATCAGGTTGGCCACCAGCTGGTCCCATGTGGCTCAAAGGTAAAATGACCTCCCCATCACCCAGAACATGAAATACAGCTCAGCCTCTCCCAAATGCAAAGTCCAGAGCCACAGTACTGTCTCTGTGGCATGAATCAGGAGACTCTAACCCTGAAGTGCTCCCTTCAATAATGGAAGGGAGCACTGTGAAGGATACCTCTAAGCAGATCTGTGTCCGGAGAAAAAAGTGCTGGCAATGATAGAGAGAGGACTGCTGGGAGGTCTCCAGCTGTGACTACAGCCAGATGTGGGGCCAGATGTGCACTTCTGTGCAGAAGTGAAGACCTGTTCTGGGGTTGACACTATTCCTGGACATGGCATATGAGGAGGGGACCAGCCCACAAGAACGAGAACGAAATGTGTCCCCTTCGGAAAGTGGCTATGCAGTACTTGATTCAGAGGCCAGACAGGAATGGGGGCTAGCTGGAGCACCTGCCTAGAATCCCCCAGTGAGGGGCAAGGGGCATGGTCAGTGAGTACACAGAACATTCAAGTCAGCTTGGGCTATCTAAGAAAGACCCTGTTGCCTGGTGATGGTGGCACACACCTTTGATGCCAGCACTCAGAGGCAGAGGCAGGCGGATCTCTGTGAGTTCAAGACCAGTCTGGTTTTCAGCGTGAGGGACAGGACAGGCTCCAAAGCTACACAGAGAAACCCTGTCTTGAAAGAACAAACAAAAACAAAAACCAAAAAACAACACACAAAAAATCTCACTCATTTGGATTTGGTTAATGGATGCTCTGGGGATCAGAGAGCTGAGTTTCTGTTTCAGCTAAGAACAGCTCATCAGGCGAGCGTTGGTGGCGCACACCTTTAATCCTGGGAAGCAGAGGCAGGTGGATCTCCGTGATTTCGAGACCAGTCTGAGCTACAAGAGCTAGTTCTAGGACAGCCTCCAAAAAGTCACAGAGAAACCCTGTCTTGAAAAACCAAAAATCAAAAATCTTAAAAAAAAAAAAAAAAAAAAAAAAAAAAAGGCCGGGTGTTGGTGGCACACACCTTTAATCCCAGCACTCAGGAGACAGAGGCAGGCAGATCTCTGTGAGTTCCAG